GTAAAGTGCTAATGCGCTCGGCAGACATGAGCGGACGTCGTCATTTCGACCTGTCGTCGTTTCGTGGAGTTGGACTCTTGGCCTTTAACTACAGGTGCTCAGGCCCCCTCTTGTCCTGTCAGGATTTTGGTTACCTAGGTTGCCGTGTGGCATGTGGCATTCAGATCCGTATGCATTTCAAGAAGTGTGTGTGTGTGTGTGCGCTCTCATATGTGTGCTTTCATACATGTGCTCTCTTATATTTGTGCTCTTATGTGTGCTCATATGAACCGCTAAGCTAGGACAGCTCCAGCAGAATCCCTGCTCCAGTATACAAGTGTTGGGCTTTTACTACTGAACACTGTTTGGGGTCTCTTGCTGGGGCAAGTGGTTTTAGGAACACCCTGACCATGGGATACCCATGCCCCTATTCTTGAACGTTTACCCCGGTTCTGTGAAGCACTGAGATCAGTCTCAGTACGTCTCAGACTAAATCACTCTCATTTTAGCGATTGAACTGTACTGTACTCATACTTCCGTGGTGTCATCGTGCCCCAACTGCAAGTCATTGCAATTGGAGAGAAGCCAAGGCTCGGCAGCTCAAACTGCACTCAAACAAGTTGGTCGCTCGAAACATCCAAGAAAACTCAGCATTCCGGTTTTCAAACATCAAAGAGCTTCCGAAAATTGAAAGAAGGAGGCCTGGTCCCATCACTCCCTACGGCGTGTCCACACTTTGAAAAGACCAGCACTTGACTCCCTGATACTGTATTCCAAATCGTCCAAACTGTTTGAAAAACTGAGCGCTGGTGCACAGTGGCACGCAGAAAGAGAAGATTTACGCAAGGACAACGATCTACGGTTGCCTTTGTAAGCAACATTTCCGCTGGCAGCAATTGAGAAAAAAAACTGTTCAAGTCAGGACATGGTCTAGTGATTGCTTGTTGCGAGTACTACCATGCTGCAAAGGCTGGGTAGGCTCGCTTCTAGTGGTTGGTTCTCTTAGACTCTAGAACTGAGAACAATCAATTTTTGTATGGCGTGCTGCATGGCTTTGGAGGCACGCTACATGTCTCAGAACCACGACCCTTGCCTACTTACTTCCTGTCCAGCCTAACTCTGCTTAGTTTACATGACCACTATGCAGCAACAAGCTTCAAAAGCTTGACAGCGGATCCCCAAGGTTGAAACTTCAAATCAAGTTCTCCTAAAGAGAAGTGCTGCAAGCCACTTGTCTGGGCCTGCAACAGAGCTAAAGCTTCCTTTAAGGTGACGTAGGTGCCTGGATTGCCTCCACAGAAAAGAAATGACAGTTGCCCAGAACTCTGCCCCCCAAAACGAGCTCCACTGCATACTCAAAACAGGCGTTGCATGAATGTTCTTTGTTCGACGCACAACTAAAAGTGGATGTCTAGCTAGTCAAATGAGAAAAATACAGCTGGGGCACTCAGTCAAGCACATCTTACATCCAGCACTTTCATGTGAGGTGCATCACCTCAAGCAACTGAACTCTGAAGCTGGAAGCGTTCAAGGTGGCTCGCAAACTCAAAAATGGTCAAGGCATACACTATTCATTCTTGCACAGTATTTTCTTCATCCAAAGCTTCTGCTCTTCACATTCGTCGTGACCTCCTTCAACCGGTTTCGCAAAGAGAATAATCTATGCTGGCACCACAGCTGTATGATCCAGAATCTTCCTGAGCTGGCTTCTCGTGTTTCTAACTTGAGAGGCCTCTTTTCGAGCTTGGCAAATAAGGTGCCCCTGATTACATGTCTTTCAAATAGCTTAACATACATCTCCTGCTCATGTATTACATGCTTCACGTAAGACTTCTTATAACATCCAGGATTTGTCGTGCTCTTACTCGTCATCTGTGTTTGCTTCACCCAAGGCCTACACTCACCGAAATGTTTTGATGAGCCACACGTTTGAGTTCACGTTGTCAAGTGCCAATCGCCATTGTATGTACATAAGGATGATCAAAAGCCTCGAAGTGAGATCACAATTATATAAATTCATTTGCAATGAAACTCACGCTTGGTTTGCGAGTGCCTGTCCTTTCCAACCAAAGGTTTACAATATGTTTTTTCTGATTTCTTGGAGGTTTAACTTGTCGATATATTCTTTACATTTCTTGGTTTGGCTGGTCGAATCAATAATTGTGCATATCAGTACTTTCTGCACAGGCACAAAGTGAGGACTGCACAGGCAGTGTAAGAACTCGCAACTGCCTCGACAGGAATGAGAGTCCAAATAAATGTCCCGGAGGTTTTGTGTGCATGTGTGTGTATGCATTTCCAAGGAAATGAACATTTGTCTGCAACTCTTGGTTCTGTCTGTATGCTCAACATGCAATAGAAAGCTATCAAAAGCCTCTGCTTCTGCGACCCAATGGCTTCGTTGTGCTGTCTCACCGGCACCCACTTACCTCTAGCCGCTAGCCGCTCCTATCATTCCCGTACAAGTCTCACCCTGACCGACACGCAGACCTTGATGCCCCACACGCCGCCATAGCACAGGCCCTCCACCACGTTCTGTCAGGAAGCGCCATGTCATGGGGAAGCCATGTGTGGCTGGTGTTCACTTGGATCTTCATGAATAAGAAAACAACCTAATAGTAATGGCCTCCAACCTACTAGCATTCACTTGGATCTTCATGAATGAACCAATTGGCCGGCTTCCAACAGGGGCCGACTGTTTTAACAATGGAAGTGAAGTCTTCATTTCAACACCCTTCCTGATATGCATCCCCCATGAAGCCGCATGTAACCCCATTACCGATGGTGGTGATCTTGCTCAGGAAGTTTGAATCCTTAGTAGAAGGTAAGAAATTGAAAGAATGGTTCACTTCTTACTGTGGCTCCAGCATTTACGCGACAAGATTTGAGTTCATTCTGTCATAATGGAGATTTGGACTGGCAGCCACAGCTTCAGTTTCAATACTTGTGCACATGAGTGTGGAACTCTTGTATGACCATACTAAATAATAGTTTCTAGCTCAGAAACGTTCTCTTTTTCTTTTCTGAGGCTTCAACCAGCAAAGCTTTGAGGTCCACCTGAATCTTATTCAAGGCTGCAGTCGTCGATCCATCTAGGCGGGTGAAGACCAAATCCAAATAGCCGCCGTAGTCCTTGCAGAGTGCGCGGCCCTTCGATTGGGGAGCGCGGCCCGACCTCTTCGACCTTGGAGAAGGTGTGGAACACGTGCCGTTGACGGCCCAACAAGTCCCACATGTGCGTGGCACAAACACAAATGGCTATCTCCGGTCCTGCACCAGCTGGACAAAAGCGGCTAGATCACCTTGGCTGAAAAGGCATAAGGTCAACGGTCATTGCATGATCTTTACAACGATAGTGTTTGCACTCGAAGTCAATAGCAGCCCAAGGACAGTCATAGCTGGCAACTGTGAATGTGCCATCAGCATTCTTGCAGTCGCCAGTCCAGGCACCATTCCCAAGTTGAGACATGGAGCTAACCTCAAATGTGTGGTCTTAAGTCACTTCCTCTTCATATTATGCGGAAATCAAAAGACTGGAAAACCGAAATGACTGAGCAAGCAACATCACACGGGACGACTCCATCTCGCATAAAATGATAGCACTTGAAATTTCTGGACCTCATGTCCTGGGAAAATGCAAAACACAAACATTGGTCGACAATGCGTGAGGCAATGTATTTTCCCTGTGGTTTCTCTCCCAGTTCAAGTGCACTCTCAGAATTGCATCAACGCCTTATCTTTGGGACTGTCGAGCTGGAAGAGTCAGCACCAAAAGTTTGACTATACATGTTCGGCACTCTTTGTCGTTAGTTAAGCCGTCTGCACTTTTTGTTCCCAAAAGCACCTGCAAAGAGTTCTCCGTAAAGAATGACTACCAACTTGAACTGTCCAACCAGCAACTGTCCAACCACCACCAGCACCAGCACCAGCACCACCACTACCACCATCATCATCATGAGAAGAAAGGTACAGAGATGCAGGTGATGCACCGGCTATAACACACCTGCATAGCTACAGGTGTTGAGACGCAAAAGTCACCTGTACTACAACTTCAATTTCAACATCTTTCTAGTCTTCTCTCCTCACGAAACGCGACCCTTTGCGGAGATCGTGCGTGCCAGATGCACGAAACTCTGTGACGCTCATCGTTTTGCTCCGACGCAGAGCATGGGCAAAGGCGAGTGAACGAAGGAGGCTCCGAGATCTGAGGAGGGAGCACAACCGTTGGTGGGAGGTGGTGAGTGAGGATGTAGATGGACAAAGATCGCAACGAGAGCAAAGCCAAAGATCGCGATGAAACGCGCAGAAGCGCCAGGGGTGAGGACAGCTAAGCGGCTGAGCTACCCCAAGCTAAGACCCGACAACCTCAGTGAACTGTGGCATAAAGTGGCATAAAGGCTTTGAGCCATTTTCGAGTCGATCAGAGTTACACGTCAAATGTGGGTAAAATTGTCTGATCTTTCTCGGGAGGTTGCCCAGATGAACGGGCATCTGCAGCACATACCACAATACCAAACTTTACACGGAGGTCCTCGGGCCATAACATGAGGGTTGTACGAACGGAACCCAGCCCTCCTCCCACGCAGGTTTTCCCCTAGCGTTGCTGCTGTTTCAGCTAGTTGTGACCCATCTGTTCCACACCCGCGAAATTCATGCGGGTGCAAGGAGATTGGTATGAAGTGCCCAGACGACCTGCATTTAATCGCCCTTGTCGGACGACGTGCTGGATCCGGAAGAAGAGCTGTCCTTGGACGTCGGGTGGCATTTAGGGCGCAACTTCTTGTATGACTCATCTGGCCTTTCAGGTGGACGAGTCGTCTTTGCGTAGCTCTTCGAGGCAAATGGCCAGCCGCATGCGGTTCTTTATTGTGAGGGAGATTCACGGAGCTTTACAATGGCCTGATGCCTGACTCCTGAGCAGATATTGTCTACCACCCAGATCTCCCTGTAGACTGGGCGTCCAAAACTATGGCGATCCCTTCCAGTTGGTGACTAGTGTCGGAAGAGTCACGTTCAAGTTGTTAAACTAATCGCTTCAAAACTTCCTGTTCCTTCTTCTGCTCAGCCATTTGCCGAATGAGGTTCTTCCAGCAGTGCTCAAAGCATCTCGAAGTGCCTGGTTGTCACCGACCCTCGACGCTCTTAGCCCAGACCTCGCGACGCGGTCAGCAATCCTTGCAACGGAGATTCAGCAATGTACGTGAGCACAGCGTCAGATCCCCATCTACCTATGAGCTGGATGGTGATGGGGTCCAGACCATGGCAGGTAAGAGTCCTTGCCGCAGTGATGCGAAAGGAATGTCCACTTACCACCCAAGAGCCATCCTTGGCCTTGGACGCCGATCCGGCGTTGTCAATGGCAGTTCTCAGTGTCGCCACCACTCCACGCTTGGAACAATAGGGGCCGCCCGAACAGGGAAACAGGGGGCTGTCAGGTTCCAGTGGCTCACCTCTGTCATGCCAGAAGCACCTCAAGGATTCCACGCGCTCGGTCAACACGTGGAACGGGCAAGGGAGGTCCGTGTCACACACGCACGTCCACGACCTAGTGCAGCCCTTCGCCTTCCAGAGCGCCACCGAGGTCTCGGAGACCGTGATATCGGCCACGTCAATGGCTGATGCCTCAAGCTCTCGTAGCAAGAACATGGTGGCACACACGATCAATGCTTTCACATGCGCTGGTCCTTCAGGATGGTATGGTCCATCCCCCATTCGCAACGTCCTCGTCACAGCAACAAGATCAAACGACTCAGATCTAACCGGGCCTGCAAGACCCCGTAGGACAGATCTCGAGCACTTCTTTGCCACCACATCAAGCCTGTCAGACCAGTCGAATCCCGACATGATATGGAATTCCTTTGCCCGACTGAGGTAGTTCTTGAAGGACTTGTATCCACCCAGCTTGAACAGGGCAGAGACTCTGATGATCTTGTGTTCTCTCCAAACCATGTCCTGTGGTAGTCGATCCAGGTGGCCAGTTGAGATTCACGGGCGCGGTTGAGAAGGCATGTATGTCAGTAACAAGGTCAGTGAGCCCCTCCTGTCTGGCCTGCGGTCCACGGGTCATCACGCCATGCACTGAAGGCTTCCCACAGTCGATCATTCTGATCCATCCCTCAATGTCGTCGGAGGGTACGGAAAAGCTCCTTCCCCTCCGAACTCCACCTGCGGTGTGCCGAGGTTGTCTGAACATGGTAATGGCTGCGGATTCGATAAACACATTCTCTCCCCACCGATGCGGGTGCCGAGTCAACGAAGCACGACCAACGAGCGGACAACCGACGCGAGCGACCGAAAAAGAGACGACGGCGGACCCGGCACGAGGTTCCAGTTCCCCCCGTTCCAAAGCGCACAGGCGCAGACTTTTCAGGACACTCAAGGTTGTACGGCCAGTTTTCGGCCAAGCGTGGGCATTAACTTCCTCCACCCTTAAGTGAGTCTGGGTGTACGTGCAGGCAGGTGTGTTCATTCTCCCTCCTTGTGTCTACAGTTGGCTATGCTGGAGAGATGACGAATCTGTGTGGGAGCGTCTTCCACCATGCTAGCTTGCGCGGTGCCGGCATGACCGCTCGCGCTCCGGCTAGTTGCGCTGGCACTGCAAAGACTTTCTTGGGGTCATTGATCCGTGACAGCGCATCACAAACCGTATTGGTCAGACCTGGAATGTGTGTCACAGCTGAGGTCTGCACGTCGCCTTCCCAAGGTCTAAAGCGAACTCACGAGCGATCGGGCTTAAGGCCGCAGAGCCGGCCTTCAAGTTAGCAAACAATGACAGGGCACCCATATTGTCATTTCTGGTCTGAAGGAACACCGGGCAGTGTTCCGCCCATTGCCTGAGTGCAATGAGGCCTGCCAAAGCTTCCCACACTTGCTGTCCTGCGCAATCACAGAGTGCCAAGATGTTTCCTTCTCTTGCCTTCTGCTTCTCCTCCACTGACAGACTCTTCAAGCCATATACCTTAGGCCTTAGGCCCTGATGTGGACCTCAATGCCTGTGTGCTGCATGGTGGTGACATCACGTAACCATCAAACTCATCCAAAGTCTTTTCAATTCTCTCCCAGACATCTTGGTCCAGCAGATCATGCATCTCAGTGAACTCCTTGTCCACATAGGTCGTCTCCACACCGTGGTCTTTGAGGAATGTCCCCAGACCGTCCGACGGCCTGCGCGGTCCACTGTACAAAAAAAGCACCTTGCCACCAACCTCTCAACTCTGTATTCGACTTGTCAGCAACTGAATTCCGCTCCGGATCAGCATTGCCAGAAATCTCTGTCGTCTGACCCTCATGCAATTGGGAAGCGTTCTGTCAGTAAGGCGGCTTCTTGCCACCTTTGCCCTTCTTGCCGCCTCCCTTCTTTCCTTTTTTTCGCAGCCCTCTTGAAATCCTGGCTCCGGCACCTCTGCGTGCGGGCGCCTTATCGTTGGATGTGATCCCAAACAACGCTCACACTGATGCACTGAGTCCCACGCACGCTGACACCAAATGCCCTGAGATGCTTCCGAACAGGTTCCTTTGTTGAAGTCTGCGCAAAGTTTGTATCCTGTCTACACGATGCTCCAGACCTTCTCGCCATACTTATCATGGAATCTCTCAACGGGTGCCTTGTAACGAAGTAGATTTCCAAGATCCACAGCGTCCAACATCACTAGGACATTTTGCAGAACCGTGTAGGATGCAATCCAATGCGAAATGTTCGCTGGACCATGAAACTCTTGGCTCTTCACAGATCCATCCCTCCCCAGCATCACGCCTGAGAGTTTGACCTTCTTGAGGATGCGCATGCCATATGGTCCAAAGATCGCAAAATCCACATAAGGCACACTGCCTTGGTCCAGAAGATGCTTCACTGCTGTGATTTGTTCCGAAGTGGGTTCAGATTCCTTGGGAATTCTCTCCCCCTTTCCGTAAACCACTTCAAACCGTGCGAACGCCTTTAGGATTTCCTTCTCGTCGGCAAGCAGTATCTCCGTGTCGTCGATCTGGCTGATCACGCTGCTAAGCTTGACTTTTCTTGCAGCTGCTGTTGAACCACTGCTCACTGCCGATCCATGTGGTGTTGTTGAAATTGCCGCTGCCTTCCTTTTAAGGTCTTCAATGGTTTGACCTTGTCCCGCAACAATCCTACAAACATGGCCAATCAACTTCGCCTGACCAAGCTCTGTCAATGTAGGCAGCTTGCTGTACCACCTGCTGCCGGAACCTTTCAGCCTTTGACTGTAGCAGCGTAATCTGCCTCGCTTAAGATGCCAAGCGCTGCCGGTTTTGTATCTGGATTGGCACCTAACAACGCGGCCAGCGACCCAGGGATCGCTTTGTCGTCCGTGAGCTGTGTCTCATCCATGCCAGCGAATGCTAATACATATTTGGCTCCAAGCATCCTTTTGTGTTCATCTTCGGTAGGCTCCATGGGCCGTGATCTCAAAGCCTGATGGCAGTCTGATGCTTGGAAAGGATGCTTTGCAGCACAATGATCTGATGCAGCACCCACACGAGGTACAGAGAACAATCAGGAATGCCAGCAACAGCTCAAAGATATGGCTCGATCCCACCGCTAGACCAACTACCGTTCCCACCGGTTGCAATGTCTGACTTCCGATGGGTACCGGGTACCAAGTTCATGCACCCTTTTCCGCGCCACAATGACACGTCGGTGCCAAATGCGTGAAAAGGGTGTCACACCTTGAGCCAAAATGTCAAGGTGCGACAAACTAAACCCACCCTACCACCCTACACGACCAAATATGCTCCGTCCACAACGAGTTGTTCCCTCTCACAATGGAAGAACAGCCAGAGCGGCTATAGCTATGTCTGATGTCAAGAGGGTGTATGTGTGAAAGGTAACTCTGCTGTGTAAGTAGAGATCATGACGAGAATGGCAGGGAAAAGTTATGGGCAGCATGCCATATCAGCCAAGGCACATACTTGAGATCCATAAGTTTCCTTGCCGCCTCCTCAAAGGTATGTTCTTACATGGTGTTCTTTCTGAGCTGGAATCACCTTCAAAGAACTCATTGGGTCTTGTCTGCACATTTCTGGCAGTAAGTATCGGGCGCAAGCAGCTCTATCTGTGGCGTTGAGATCATTGGCGCCAACGCCCAGAGCCTTCCATCGAAAGAGGGTGTCGCACTACTATTCATATGTGCATTATTTTTATATGTTTATAAAGGTCTAGACCTTTAGATCTTTTCATGACTGGTTCTTTCTTTTTCTTTACACCTTTATCCAGAGAATTCCAAAGTCAAAAAGCAACTGCAAAGCCAAACATGCCCCTGGCCGTTCTGTTTGAGTCTTCATGCATACCCAGCACAAGCTCTGGTGACCCCCATTCCCAGGTGACCCCCATTCCCAGAGCCATCCTTGCAAGTGAAGTCAGCGGCACAAGTTGGTGATCTTGAGGTGGAAGAGAGTGTGTAAGAACCTTTGGAAAAGGCGCGAAGGGCAACAGAATCAAACCATGCGTGAGAGGAATTGTTGAAAAGGGAGGGTCGGTGTCTTTGTGGTTGTTTGGCGTTGAATTTCAGCCCTTAGACGTTGATGTGGACAACTGTTGAGGTTTGGTTGTTTATTGTTTTGGCCAAAGATCTGGTCATACTATGTTTCAGCAATATCCTACAAGCTGATCATTGCGGTCAGTAACCTTGTGTTTCACTCCCTCTACTCTCGTTATTCCATCTCAGCACTGGCTGTATTGCTGTGAAACAATAAAATCATGCCCTCCCATAAACGCTTTGATTCTGCATCAAGCAAGCATCCTGACACTGCGAATGTCATGCAACAACTTGAACCCGGTCAAAGGTTTGTTTTCCCCCTCTCCGGCATATAATCATAGTGTCTTCATCAATATGTTTCTATGAGAACTATTTGATGGCGCCGTTGGCTCGCGTCCAGCTCGACACGTGTTTGAGGCATTGAATTCATGGGTCCAATATCATTTTCGTGAAAATATGACCCTTTCTGAACGTCATTATCTATCGATGATTTTCTGCTCGTCTTTCGTTGCTATTTCACTCAGTAAGTCACTACTTATATGCCGCGATGAAGCGGTGGTGCTGTTGGGGTTCTCGACTCTTGCATAGAAATACACTTTGTCACGATATAATGTCTGGTCTGTCTCCTCAAATGGCCGTCGCCACATGATGCCTTGCTGTGCCTCAAGTCCCCAACTTAGAAAACACGCTGTCCGCCGTGCTTGCCTCTCCTTGCACTTCTGAGCGGGCAGACGATGGAACGAATGCGAGCTGAGTTGATGTGAGTGAGAGCTTGTCTTCCAATGAGTTTCCTGCTTAGAGATTGGAGATGTTGAAACTGTTTCCTCTACGAATTGCATTTTAAGGTTCACACGCAGATGAGCATAGAGCATCCTCTCCGGGTTATCGGGTTATTTTCCATTTGGGGGATCGTTTGCCCCGTACAGACGGTCACTCTTCAGATGTATGCAAAGCAAAAAAGGCACTACATAGCTGTCACAGCAGGATGTCTTGACTGTTGCATTTCTTGTCTCCCCACTTGTCTCCCAACTAAGCTGTCACGACATGGTGTCTTGCTCTGTTTTGTCTTCCCGCTCTTCTTCCCACTATGTTGCTCTTGTATGGATCTACGGTCAGAACATTTACTGTACTTGTGGTGCCCTTCAATTGATCATGCAGCTCAACAGAGTTCAGAAGACAAGGCGTAAATGAAAACTGTGTACAAAGACAAGGCGTGCATGA